TACATATTAATACATATTTTATATATTTTAAGAACTTAACATTAAGTCTTTTTCTGGAGTTTTACCAGTCATTATTGGGTTGAATGACATTCATGCTCTAATAGAAGAATGTCAGAACATCAGAAGAAGTCTCTAAGTTCTTGCATATTAAAAATGGCTTTTCTATATAGCTTTAACATACTATATATAACATATATAGCCATAACATACATGAAGACATGGCTGGATATTAAATCCTGGTTCTTACTTCTTAATGTGAATTTTAAAAAATGCTATCCCATAGTTGCCTTGCTTTGTTTATTGGTTTCAAAAAGTATGGTGCTAGTTTAATACTTTTGCTATTGTAAGTTATTTGATCTTTTCTTGCCTGGGAGCCTGGAGGACTTTATCTATTTCTTTGAAACTTGGCCCACTGCATTGGGAGCGTGGAGTCCTAGCCACTGAACCACCAGGAAAGTCCCTGCTTCTCTTTTGTTTTGCAGGTCTTTACATTTTATCTCTTTTTCATGGGCTCCCTTCACCATGCATGTGTTCACCATCTCCCTACAAAACGATGCTTTTCTTTCTTTTTGCCCCCCACCTCTTTTCTTCTCTGCAAGGTTTCTGTTTCAGATGGCTCCTTTAAAATGTGCCTATGCCTTTAAATGGTCCTTACCCCTTGAAATCACACTGACTTTGAACCTCTGTAGTCCCTGCTAAAGGATCTGTCACAGTCCTTTCCAGGACTTTCAGACTGAGAGTAGATTCAATCTTTCTGGTGACTGCTCCAAATCACTCCCAGATCCTTTCGCTAGCCTCTGTCTTCCATCTGTCCCACAGTTTTTCTCAGCTTGCCTTTGCAGGAGATACTGTGTGCTGGGATTGGTGGTTTTTCTTTCTGTCACAGTTATCTGCAGCTTCAACATTTTCTGTCTTCAAATTATCCAGGAAGCACAGTTTTGTGTAGAATATACTTTTCCCTTCCTGTTTTATCTTGCTGGCAGAAAAAAACTGGGATAAGAAGAAGCTATACAGTTGTCACTGTCCTCAGATACTCTTACTTCCTCTAATTTTTAAAAGACTTTGTGTAAGACTGATAAGACCCATCTAGTCAAAGCTATAGTTTTTCCAGTAGTCATGTATGGATGTGAGAGTTGAACCATGAAGAAAGCTGAGCACTGAAGAACTGATGCTTTTGAACTGTGGTACTTCAAAAGACTATTGAGAGTCCCTTGGACCACAAGATCAAACCAGTCAATTCTAAAGGAAATCAACCCTGAATATTCATTGGAAGGACTGATGTTGAAGCTGAGGCTCCAATACTTTGGCCACCTGATGCGAAGAGTCAATTTATCGGAAAAGACCCTGATGCTGGGAAAGATTGAGGGCAAGAGGAGAAGGGAGGTGACAGAAGATGAGATGGTTGGATGGCATCACTGATTCAATGGACATGAGTTTGAGCAAACTCCAGGAGATAGTAAAGGACAGGGAAGTCTGGTGTGCTGCAGTCCATGGGATCACAAACAGTTGGACACTGAGTGACTGAACAAGAAGACTGACATTATTTATACTTAAACATTTAGTAGAATTCACCAGTGAAACAGCAGGGCCTGGAGTCTTCTTGGTAGAAAGATTTTTGACAATGAATTCAATTTCTTTTGGAAATACAAAGCCATTTAGTTTTTCTGTTTCTTCTTGAGTTAGCTTAATTAAATTATGTAGTATTTTTTAGGAAGTTGCCCATTTAATTTACATTATCAAGTACATTAGTTTGAAGTCGTTCATGGTATTTCCTTATTCTCATTTTTAAAAATGTCTACATTTAAAAATGTCCTCTTTCATTCCTGATACCAGTAATTTGTATTTTCTCTCATTTTTCGTTTCCTTAGTCCTGTCAAGGTGTTATAAATTTTGCTATCTTGGAGAAGGGAATGGCAATCCACTCCAGTATTCTTGCCTGGAAAATCCAATGGACAGAGGACCCTGGCGGGCTACACCCATGGGGTCGCAGAGAGTCAGACACAACTGGGCAACTAAGCATGCATAAGCATTCTGTGACTTGGATAAAAAAAAAAAAAATTTTGCTATCTTTTATAATACAAAATTTTCACTTTGAAAATTTTCCCTATTGCTTGCACGTCTTACCTTAATTAGTTCTTTTCTTCTACTTACTCTGGGCTTCCCTAGCGGCTCAGGCAGTAAAGAATCTACCGGGTTGGGAAGATCCCTGGAGAAGGGAATGGGTACTGATTCCAGTATTCTTGGCTGGAGAATTTCACAGACAGAGGAGCTTGGTGAGCTACAGTCCATGGGGTAGCAAAGAATTGGATACAACAAAGTGACTAACACGTCTAACATTCTCTACTTACTTTGTATTCCTTTCTTTCCCCCAGCTTCTTCTGATAAAAACTTTAAGTGTTTACTTTAAATCCTTCTAATTAGGTATTTAAAGTTACAAATTTCCCTGTAAGATCCTGCTGAGCAAGGTGAGGGGGCCACATACTTGCAATATGCAATTTCTGCAAAAGGCAGGAACTCCTAAAGGGCCTCGTGGTCTGATTCACACCCCTAAACAGAGCAGGCTTACCTCCTTAGCACCTGAAGTGACACAGAGGGTGAAGCAGGAGAGATGACAGCCAAGCCAGGCTGTACCACCCACGTTCTGTGCGACCTTAGAGGAACCTCTGTGGCTCTGAGCCACAGAGTAGCGTCCTCATCTCTGGGCAGTATAAAGCCCAGGACTGCTATCTACTGAATGGCGCCCCCTGCAGTTGTGCAGGGCACATTCTGCACAGCCTTCATAAAGTCTGCCTTGCAGGGGTGCTGTGGTTGCTTCATGAAGCAGTATATGAACAACCAGCCTGGGGCCTGATAGGTGAGACAGAGTAAATCAGTCATGGTACATCCATTCTGTGGAATCTCACTTGGCCATGAAAAGTCACGATTAAGCTTTCTATTTGTGCTCAGTCATGTCTGACTCTTTGCTACCCCATGGACTGTAGCCCAGCAGGCTCCTCTGTCCATGGGATTATCCAAGAAAGAATACTGGTGTGGCTTGCCATTTTCTCCTCCAGGGGATCTTTCTGACCCAGGGATTGAGTCCACGTCTCCTGCCTTGCAGGCAGATTCTTTACCCAAGCCACCTGGGATGCTGAGACCTCTATTTACTGAGGAAGAAAACTCTCATGCTTTCTTGTGAATGAAAAAATAAAACCAAATATGATCCGGTTTTCATTAATATAGGTATAGCTGTACATGTATGGAAAATCCTGGCGAGAGAACCTCAAAGTGCAGTCTGATTCAGACTGGAGACTTTTTCCTTTGTCAATATTTAAACATTTTCCTACAGTAAGTATGCTTACAATTTGAAAAAAGAAAAAAATTTTTTTTTAGTTGGCTCTTTTCCTTTCCACCTCCACTCTGAGCTTCAGCTTTAAAATGCATCTATCAAATGGAAGTAATGATAAAAAGAGCAACAAGAGTGCTGCAGATACGCTGTGTCACTCAACACCTGAGCTGGGAGTTAGTTTGCTCATGTTACAGAGGAAGAAGCGGATTCTCAGACCAGGCAGAGGTCCCATGGGGAAGGTAACACGCCCTCTTCACAGGGCTGCCCTGTGGTTTGCTGCCACGAAGGATCATGGATGCTGTGTGACGTGCCAGGTGCATGCCTACCGTGGGCTGCAGGATGGAGCACTCAGAACATGGTCTGGATCGAATCCAACAGCTCTGTTCCTTCCAGTCGGTGTGACCTTAGGTAAGTGACCACAACTCTCTGAGCCTCAGCTTCCTCACTGGTAAAACAGGGGTAGCAAAAGTGCCGCCTTGGGGGGCTGAGTCAAGGATCACATGAGGCAGTTCCTGCCCAGAGTGTGCAATCTATGATAGACAGCTTCGGTCATATTAATATCCTCTGGTCCGGCTCTGGTCCCCTGATTTCAACAGGGACTGTCTCTCTCTGTCTCTCTGACAGACATCATGCAGAAGAAGGTGGAGCCCCAGGGGCCATGAAGCAGAGCCTGGCAACCAGCTTCCTGATCCAGGGTCCACACCCACCACCCCGCCCAGCTTGGTGGGTTAGAGGGGTGCTTCCTATCTGTGCATGTCAGGCAAAAGCAGTCACGCCATGGACTAGAGTTCTCAACAGAGGCAACTCAGCCCCACGAGCGGCTGGGGTTGTCATAACAAATGGGGCGCATGAGCAGCCTTGAGCAGACAGAAGCCAGGGAGGCTGGACCCCCTGTGATGCTCCTGACTGTCTCACCAGACATTCCTGTAGCTGAGAAACTTATTTAGACGTATGGAGGTTAGTGTCTAACTCTGTCATGTAAATAGAGACTATTTTTCTACTTTATAATAATATACAATGAATTGTCCCAGGATTCAAAACCATGTGAATCAAGGGGAGAGTTCTCCACCATTTTGCACAATCACTTCAGCAGCAACTACCCTACCTGTGGTGTGTTTGATACAAACACGTGTCATTTTACATGAAGAATGTCACACTCATGGTGAGTCTACACATAGAATGAAGAAAGGGAAAGGGGTCCTTCTGGCAGAGGGAGGACAGTGTGTGCAAAAGCCCTGGGCTGGGAAGGAGGGGGCAACCACAGACGTGAAAGCAGACCGCAGTGTGGTGGGGCGGAGTGAGGCTGGGGGGCGAGGTGGGTGGTGAGACCACAGGAGCTAGGCAGTGCAGGGCCTTGGGGGCCACGCCAAGAGGTCAGCCCTGCGAGAAGCCAAAACAGACTGTCCGCCAGGGGAGGACACGGTCAGGTTTGCATTTCAAAAAAGAATCACTCTGCAGGAAAGTGACGCATGGAATGGAAGGGACAATGGTGGAGGCAGGGAGGCCAGTGGAGGCTCCCATGGTTCTCGAGGTGACAGGGATGGTGCTCTGGGCTGGCGGTTTCCCCCACAGGAGCCTGGTCTGTTGATGGACAGGGGCCCCCGTCCTGAGACCCGAGCCCAGGAGAAGCGAGCTGAGGAGGAAGACCATGGTTCCACTTTGGCAAACTCACCTGACTCTGCCACCTCGGCGATGGGCACCCCCTGCTCGTATGCCATGAAGCCCAGGACTGAGAAGATGGCAAACCCGGCCACGAAGCTGGTGCCGCTGTTCAAGCAACAGAGCATGATGCAGTCCCTGGCGGGGGAAGCGGGAGAGGGGCTCGGGTCAGAACCCGGCGGGGGGAACCGGTGCAGTGCTGGAACGTTCTGTCTGAGCGCCAAGGAAGCCCTTGGGGTTCAGAGAGGGGAGGGGGCTGGCCCACAGTCACACAGCTTCTCCTGCACTTTTCTAGAAGGTGAGGTCAGTCGCAGACTGGAAGCACAGAGGGGGTGGGAAGGAAGGGAGGCTGGCAAGTAGGAAAACACACACCAGGGAGGAAAGACTTGGAGACAAACCAATGCTTCTCCAAACTCCTGGCAGGAGAGAAAACCAAGGGAAGTGAGAGAGGATTGATTTTCTGGGAGCTCAAAGCATGAAAATATCAACCTCTGAAAGAAAGGGCTGTTTCCCATCCAGCACAGAGGCCTCAGGAGAGACACTCCTCCCGGCCCAGCGTCTCCCAGACCTCACACAAGCCTCCACTCTGATGCTGCAAGGAGCAGACGCTCCCAGGCCAGACCCTTCATGGAGTGGGGGGGAGGCCCTCACCAGGGCAGTGACTGCCCCCTGCTCTTGGCCAGGGTTCACAGCAAAGAAGCACCAGCATAAAGCCGTGACGCAGGAGATTCCAGACTACAGACGACGGGGCTCCACCAAGAGGAAGAAGACGGAGCCATGCCTCCTGGCCCCTCCAACTTGGGGCTGTGCACCCTCATGCAGGCGGGTCAGGGGATCAGACTCTCGGGACCTCGGCCACCACAGAGCATGCACGTGGGAGTTGGGCTTATGATACCCGTGACGCTTCACTTTAAAGGGAGGGGCCAGGGTGGTCTGTCCAGTGTCCTCCCTGGAGCAGTACCAGCCCGGAGCTCCCCCCCACAACCCTAGCCAGCAGGGCCACCCACCTTGCTCCATGCGCTTCGCTTCTCGGATGGCTCCTGCCGCTCACAGAACTTCCTCATGCTCTCTTTGACCCAAATCCACCTTCTCTGGGAAGAGTTAGTTCTAACTTCCCCAACAGCCTAAAGACCTGAAGATAGAGGCCCTATACCTCCTTGAGGTTTTAGCTCGCTCAGTTAAACCCCCCAGTTCCCCTACCAGTGATCCTGTCTGTGATCTGAAATTCAGTCCAGCTTGTCCCTCTTCAAGAGTGTCACATCCAGGACTGAGTACTAGACTCAAGAACAGAGCAGGACTCTCACCTCCTCGTCTCCTGACACCATACTTTTTGTAATGCAATCAAAGGTTACACTGATGTTGGTGACTGTGACCCCCAGTTGCCTTGCATTGACCCTGGGAATCAAGGGCATGGTGGGAAGAGCATTAGACTGGGGTTCCAATTCTCCCAGCAAAAACTTCTCTCTGGGCCTGCTTTCACTGGCTAGATAACAAGGTGGCTTGGATAAGAGGGTTTCTTGGGCCCTGTGATCAATTAAGTCAACAACAAGTAGTCACTTCCACACATTCCTCCCTGGGGTGGAGTATCTTTCCCGGCCCCATTGACTGAGGGCTTAGCCAAGTGACTTGCTTTGACCAATGAGATAGCAATAGATGTGACATAAACAGAGGGTTGAGATCCACTTGTGCAGTTGGTCTTGTCCTCACTCCTGTGATTTGCTATGAGAAGCACTTTCCCAAGGTAGCTCCTATCTCTGCAGCCTGGACCCCAGAATGTACACATGGTGTGGGCTTGAACCTTGCCTGGACCCTGGAGCCAAACCTATCCAACCTACAGCCTGAAAGACAGAGTTCCCACCTGACCAACAGACGTATGAGCAATAAAAGCAAATGCTGTGGTTGTGGTGGTTAGCCACTGAGTTCTGGGATGCTTGTTACACAGCATTCTTGCAGCAGTGACTGATTGATACAGGTCTTTTTTACAGAACTCTTCAGGCACTGTGGACAGAGACTGGGCTACCAAGCCTGGAGACTTTATCTGCAGGCCTGATCACCTTCTGGGTTTCCCACGTGGTGCTAGTCATAAAGAACCCACCTGCCAGTGCAGGAGACATAAGAGACACAGGTTTGATCTCTGAATTGCAATGATCCCCTGGATAAGGGCATGGTTACACACTCCAGTATTCTTGCCTGGAGAATCCCATGGACAGAGGAGCCTGGTGGGCAACAGTCCATAGGGTCGCAAAGAGTTGGACATGACTATAGCAACTTAGCTTGCACGATCACCTCCACTCTGAGGGAAACTCAGCTCAGCCCAGGAGGGCAAAGTTATTCCTAAGTCTGAGCTAAATCTGTCCTGCACGCCTGTTTCTGGCCCCCGGAAACGGTGCAGAATGAGGCAGCACTGGTGAGGAAAGTGTTTTCTTCACAATCTCTCCGTGCTGGGATTCTTCTGTTTTTTTGGACCTGCAGTGTTGAGCACTGTCACTGAAACCCGAGGTCCAGGGAGGACAGACACATACTCAGGCTCTCTGTCATCTGCTGGTGAAGCTGGAAAAGACCCTGATGCTGGGAAAGATTGAAAGCAAAAGGAGAAGAGGGCAGCAGGGGGTGAGATGGTTAGATAGCATCACTGACTCAATGGACACGAATTTGAGCAAACTCCGGGAGACAGCGGAGGACAGAGGAGCCTGGCGTACTGCAGTCCATGGGGTCTCAAAGAGTTGGACACGACTTAGAGACTCAACAGCACTGAAGTTGGGATATGAATCCAGTTGTCTCAGACACCAAAGCCCACTTTTTCCTAGGAGCTACACAGTGCTCCTAAGAAACAGTGCTCCCTAAGAATTCAGACTTCTAAATCCTGACTTTTGGAAAACAAGCTTTGGGTATTCATGTCGTTGTTAGAAACAAATGCCCCTTATTGCAAGGTCCCCACCTTCCCTCAGAGCCCACCCCCCTCAGTGCCTTCCTGACCATAGAGGGGGACAGGCTCTGAGCAGACCCAAGGTCCCTTCCAGGCCTGTGCCCCTGCACCCCGTCCTCAGAGCACCCCCACCTATAAGCAGAGAGCCTAGCAGCCTGTGTTCTGAAGTGAGGATTTTCACTGTCTGGTTTGCTCCATTTGCAGCCCTCTAATTCCTTCCCCACAGGGCACCTTCTAGGTGAAAAGCTACATAACACGTACTTTGAAGTTGGCAGGAGCTGAGCTGGGCTTTGAAGACCTCCAGAAGCTATTATGCTGTCGGAAGAGGGTATTAATTTACTCCCTCTGAGTCAGGTAAGATCCGTTCACGGAACAATTTGGAAATGGAAATAAAAGGAGCCCTCAGACTTTTGCAATGTCACTTAGGGGATTTGCTTTCTTCTGCTGATAGGAAGGATAAAAAAACCTGCCTGTTGGATGCGGGAGCTGAAGGGGTCTGGGGTGGTCAGCATATTTCACCCACGTGCTCGGCGGGGAAGCAAGCTGCCACTGTCTCAGACACAGCCTGATGACATGCAGTCTTGGCCAAATCCTTGCTGGGAAAGAAGTGGCCAGGCCTGGGAGTGAGGAATAAGGGTGCAGGGGCCAGAAAGGCTAAGGTTCAAAGCCACGTTGCATCGAGCCTCAGCGTCCTCATCTGCATAATGGCAAGGCTCTTTCCTCGCTTCCTTCCATTTTGGCCAGCGCTCTCCTAGGCTGGAGGGACGGTGATGAACAAGAGGACTCAGACTGCGTCCTCATGGAGCTGAAGGCCAAGCAGGAGGTGACCTAGAGACCTCCGCCACGCGCGGCACACAACAGAGGCAGGCTGGCGGCCGATGTGCTGACAGACAGACACAGACAGCATCTCTCTCCAGCATCCCAAGGGGGTCACCCTCGGCATGGACCAGAGGCCTGCGTGTGCTCTCCTTGTGCCCACGCCTTTCTCTTCTTGCCCCTGGTTCTGTCCGTCTCACGGCTGACAAGGCTCTACCACTCACACCCCAGATCCGCCTCCCATGGACGCCTTGAAGGACCAGAGAGTCCACCTCACAACCTGGCCTGACTTCCCACCTCTCCAGCATCCCTCTGCCCAGTGGTCTCTGGTGACCTCTCTGCCCAACAGCCCAGGGACTCAAGAGAGCTCGCTGGCTTCCTCTGTGGCCTTTCCTCCAGCATGTGGGGTCTGCCCTCTTTCTTTGCTTCGGTTTCACCAAGTTGCAACCTCTATAGACTGGAGCTGTACCTCTCACGGGAGCGATTGGGGGTCTCACGAACTTAGTGATACATAGAGCACATGGTTGGCTTAACACGTGGGTGAGTAAAGCTATCACAGAGTCAGCTTTCAGAGAAGATGTGGTGGAGTGCTGGGACGGAGGTTAGGAGACCATGGCCAGAGTCCAGGTCCACCACACCTAGCTGGGGTGGCGGAGGGACCATATCCATGAGCTTCAATTTCCCTTCCCTCGAAGATCGGGATAACATGAGAGGGACTTCATCACTGACCAAAGTCCTCAGAAATGAGGCTCCCACTTGAGCCTCACAACAACCAAATGATGTGGCTATCACATCCAAGGTCCCATCCCACCACCACACGTTGACATGGCTTCTCTCACTGTACCCTCACCTACATCGAGGGTTCATTTTCAGATCACAGCTCATTTGCTGGTGAAGGAAAATGAGCTGGTTATTTTAAGAGCGTGTTACTGATCTTTTTCTTGGTGTTTTAGGATTTTTCATTTAGATCTGTTTCTATTCTTTACATTAGTAGGGACACTAACCCTTTTGAGTATCACATTACATGTTAATTGATTTTTGAGTATCATGTTACATGTTAACTGACTTAAATTGAAGACAGTAGGGAAAACTACTAGACCATTCAGCTATGACCTAAGTCCCTTATGATTATACACTGGAAGTAACAAATAGATTCAAGGGATTAGATCTGAAAGACAGAGTGCCTGAAAAACCATGTACAGAGGTTCGTAATGTTGTATAGGAGGTGGTGATCAAAACCATTCCTAAGAAAAAGAAACGCAAAAAAGGCAAAATGGTTGTAAAGAGGCCTTACAAATAGCTGAGAATAGAAGAGAAGCAAAAGGCCAAGGGGAAAAAGAAAGATATACCCATTTGAATGCAGAGTTCCAAAGAATAGCAATGAAACCTAATAGAAGCAGATGATATTAAGAAGTGATGGAAACAATACACAGAACTATACAAAAAAGATCTTAATGACCCAGATAACCATGATGGTGTGATCACTCACCTAGAGCCAGACATCCTGGAGTGCAAAGTCAAGTGGGCCTTAGGAAGCATCACTATGAACAAAGCTAGTGGAGGTGATGGAATTCCAGCTGCACTATGTCAAATCCTAAAAGATGCTGTTAAAGTGCTGCACTCAATATGCCAGCAAACTTGGAAAACTCAGCAGTGGCCACAGGACTGGAAAAGGTCAGTTTTCATTCCAATCTCAAAGAAAAGCAATGCCAAAAAAATGTTCAAACTACCTCACAATTGCACTCATCTCACATGCTAGCAAAGCAATGCCCCCAAATTCTCCAAGCAAGGCTCCAATAGTATGTGAACCAAGAACTTCCAGATGTTCAAGCTGGATTTAGAAATGGCAGAGGAACCAGAGATCAAATTGCCAACATCCATTCGATCTTCAAAAAAGCAAGGATTCCAGAAGAATATCAATTTCTGCTTCATTGACTACTCCAAAGCCTTTGACTGTGTGGATCAAAACAAACTGGAAAATTCTTAAAGAGATGGGAATACCAGACTGCCTGACCTGCCTCCTGAGAAACCTGTATACAGGTCAGGAGGCAACAGTTAGAACCAGACATGGAACAACAGACTGGTTCCAAATAGGGAAAGGAGTACGTCAAGGCTATACATTGTCACCTTGCTTATTTAACTTATATGCAGAGTACATCATGTGAAATGCCAGGCTGGAAGAAGCACAAGTTGGCATCAAGACTGCCAGGAGAAATATCAATAACCTCAGATATACAGATGACACCACCCTATGACAGAAAGCAAAGAGGAACTAAAGAGCCTCTTGATGAAAGGGAAAGAGAAGTGTGAAAAAAAAAATCACTTAAAACTCAACATGCAGAAAAACAAGATCATGGCATATCCAGTCCCATCACTTCATGGCAAATAGATGGGGAAACAATGGAAACAGTGACAGACTTTATTTTCTTGGGCTCCAAAATCACTGCAGGTAGTAACTGCAGCCATGAAATTAAAAGATGCTTGCTCTTTGGAAGAAAAGCTATAACAAACCTAGACAGCATATTAAAAAGCAGAGACAGAACTTTGCCAACAAAGGTCCGTCTAATCAAAGCTATGGTTTTTCCAATAGTCACGTATGGGTGTGAGAGTTGGACTATAAAGAAAGCTGAGCGCTGAAGAATTGATGCTTTTGAACTGTGTTGTTGGAGAAGACTCTTGAGAGTTCCTTGGACTGTGAGCAGATCAAACCAGTCAATCCTAAAGGAAATCAGTCCTGAATATTCATTGGAAGGACTGATGCTGAAGCTGAAGCTCCAGTACTCTGGCCACCTGATGAGAAGAACCAACTCATTGGAAAAGATCCTGATGCTGGGAAAGACTGAAGGCAGGAGGAGAAGGGGATGACAGAAGGTGAGATAGTGGATGGCATCACTTGATGCCATCAGTGATGACTTGATGGAACATGAGTTTGAGCAAACTCTGGGAGTTGGTGATGGACAGGGAAGCCTGGTGTGCTGCAATCCATGGGGTCACAAAGAGTCAGACACAACTGAGAGACTGAACTGAACTGAATTACATGTTATTATGTCCTTTAACTTTGTAGATGATTTTCATATTTTGTTTGGAGATGTTATGCAGAATGTATATAGATAACATTTGTATTAATGTGACTGTTTAAGGATTATAAAATCTATATGTACTCAAGAGTAAAGACAAGACAAAACATTTAAGTTGTATGGGAAAGTACAGGTAGACAAAGCCCATCATTCCATCTCAATGCTTCTCTTCAGAGGTGGCTTTTTAATAACTTCTTGTGTCTTTCTAGAAATTTTGAAGTTCTAGATATTTATGTGAATCACTCTGTCATTTCCCTTCCTGACCTAATCATTTTGGGTGTTTCCATATCTTTCTCATTATGAAAAGAGTATTTTAGTCCTCATTTTAGGATGGCTTCCTTTTTTAAAAAAGTATTTAACTCCTTAGTCTTCCTGCACTTACTCTGGTGCATATGTGGGGTAAAGTATTAGGCTCCGTCCTAACTATTTCTACCAAAATACTTATCCTAGCTCAGGGTTTTTGCTGAAAAACCCTTCCCTTTCCAGTGAATCTGTGTTGAGGCACAGCATCATTGCAATGAGTCTACGACTTTCCACACTACAATGAGGAGCTCTTGATCTTGGGGGCAGAGATGTGCCATCGGCCCAGCCCTGCATATTCACCATCTGTGTCTGTGACAGGCATGGAGTCAGAGGTGCAGAGACCTCAGCAAACAAGCCACTGGCCTATGGTTACAGACCAATGTGCCAAGTTCACTTCTGCCAGACACTTTTGGCTGACCTTGGGCAAGTCCCTGGACTCTGGTCTCAGCCTCAGGGCAGAATCCAGGCTGCAGGCAGGAGGACCAGGCAGCCAGGGTCACCCAGCCCCAGGCTCACCCCCAGCGTGGGTCCCCTCTCCACACTGGGTGCAGCTGTTGCAGGAGGCTGGGGGTGGGAAGGGAGGTCCATTAAAAAGGGGGCAGCAGGACACTGGCCACTCCAGGTCAGACTGGACAGGACCCTACAGTCAAGTGAGAGGAAGCAGGAAAGAAATTCCTGACCAGAAGGCAGAACAAGGCCCTCAGTGTCAGAAGACCTGGGTTCAACTAGCTGTGTGACCTGGGTGTGACCTTGGACCAATCCCTTATCTGCCCTGGGATAAAACTGTGCTGGAGAAGGTGGGATGGAGGCCTGAATACAATTCCTGGCACGGGCTCCCTCCGAGCCTGGAACTTGCTCTGATCATGTCTGCTATTCTCTGAGCTCCTCTGGTGGACCACTCTTAGACCCTGGGCTGGGAGAGGCTGTCAGATCGCCCAGGGTCCTCCCCTGTCCCACCTGGATGGTTGGCACCCTGCCTCTTCTCCTCTGACAGGCCTGTTTCCCTCAACCAGCCTTGCAAGGTTGGGGGGAGATGTCAAGGAACTAGCCAGACAGCATGGAGGGCTCCCGGGTTCGGTGGAGAGCGGACAGGCAGGGCTGGGGACATGCTCACCTGTAGCAGTTGTTGTTATAATTGTTATAACTTCCCAGAGCGGTCAGACAACCCAGGCAGATGGCATAGGAGAAGAAGATTTGCGTCCCAGCATCTACCCAGACCTGGAGGAGGGCACAAAGAAGTTGGCAGAGAGAGAAGTCAGATGCACGGCCAGGGGGTAGGGAGGCGGGGTGGCCCCGTTCTCTGAAATCCCCCGCCCACGCTCAACCCCCACGAAAGACTCCAAAAAGGGACAATCAAATGTCCTCATCTCAGAACGTGGTTTTTAGAAATTCTATTCTCAGGATGATTAAATATAAATGTCCTTAATTAAATCCAGGAATTTCTGGAGGTTTTGGACAGTAGTTCACCAAGCAGCAAGAATTTGGGTGTTTAGGACCCTGTTCCAGCCGTGTGAGCTTGGAAAAGTTACTTAATCTCTCTGAGGCTTAGTCCCGCTACCAGCAAAGTGGGGAATAAACTTCCCTCTCAGGACTACTGAAGCCAAGAGTCATTTTTCTTCTGATGGCTGAGACCATCATGAGAAAAGTTCTCTTGGGTGTCTTTGAACTCCCAGAGTTGTACAGTGTCTAGTGGGGGTGGGGGGCATTCACCAGGGGGACCAGTTACAATGAAGCCCCCAGTGTTCCTCCAGGTCTGGAGGCTTCTCCCACTCTGCCCCATGCACTCAGTCAGAGGACAGTGAAGGGACAAGAAAGGGGTAAGCACTACATCTTCATCACTTTTGCAAAGAGCTGTTACTTGGGGGCTTCCTGTGTGGTACATGTGGAAATTCCTTTCTCAGTCTCCAAGTGCCCCTCTGACAGAACAGCCAGGGATGGTGTGACACACGCAAGAGGAATTACGGTAATTTGTTGAACACTCCTTTGGGCTCTCTTTGAGCTCCGCTCTAGAAGTCATCAAAGAAATGCCACAGCTCAAACCCAAATGCAGCTGATGAGACTGATGCTTGAGAATCCAGTGTCATCTAGAGAAGAGGTTTGATACCAATTCAAATACTAGCAAACATTTGCTAAGCATGTACGACGTGCCAGGGACTGCTGTGAACCCTGTATGTGTTACTACACTTGAATATTCACACCAACACCATGTAGGAGGTGCTATTATTAGCTCCCTTCTACAACTGAGGAACAGAGAAGTTGAGCAACTTGCTCAAGATCACAAAGCTGGGAGTGGCAGAAACAAGTCCAAGGAGACGTGCCTCTAGAGAAGCATGCTTCAACAGTCCCGGAATTCCAGAAGTCTTGGGCTGTAACCTCCCACCCAACACAGGACGCTCTTCTAGTACTTCTGACAGAACAGTCTCTGCTTGATTACTGCCAGTGACAGGGAGCTCACTATCTTTTGACACAGCCCTTTTCCTCTTCAGAGAATTCTGACCATTAGCACATTTCTTAAAATGAGAGAAAATCTACCTTTTGAGTTTCCAACTCTGGGGCCACCCAGGCCATATCTCCCTTTCCCATATGGCATCACTTTACAGATTTGAAGACCCCTCTAGAACACTCCCTATTCCAGGCAAATTATCACTATTTCCTCTTTTCTGGGGATTTGATTACACAGCCCATGTTACTTTACCCTGGATGTGCTTGCTTGTTAAATCATTCAACAGATACTTATAATGAGCAAAGTTCACAATGCTGTCTCTTGACCTAAAAAGTGCATACATTTTTTCCCCCTCTAACACAGAGCTTTTGGGTTTAGTGTTTTGGGAGCTAAATGAGGAACTTAGGGAAAGCTATTTCATGAAGTGTGTGTGTGTGTGTGTGTGTGAGTGAGTGAGTTGGGCGGTGCAGGCGAGGATGCTAGCAGATCATAGTGGACTGAGACATGGTAAGGGGGAAACGGGAAGAAGAACTATTAAAATTGTTTTTCAAGAAAGGGGAGTTGGGAGATGGGATAGTCACGAGAGTAAATAAATTTAGGGATGATTTTTTCCAAATGGTAGAAACTTGAGGATACTTAAATGTTGAAACAACACAGGGTAGGGAAAAAGTGTTAAAAAAAGATTTGAGAGAGAAATGGGTATATTTTAAAGTCCTTCTCTGCCTCAGTCTCCCCACTTGCCACCTCAATCCCTTTTCTCCTTGGTAAGGCCAGTAAATGTTATGGAGAAGCAAAAGACAGGTTTGCTGCTGAACTGGGGAACAAAGTCAGATCCCAGGAGCATGGTATGAGGATGCTCAGCTCTCAACCAGGCACTGTTTCTGTAGCCTCCGCAGGACTTCCCTGGTGGTCCAGGGGTTAAGACTCCGTGCTTCCCTATTTACAATAGCTAGGACATGGAAGAAACCTAGATGTCGATCAACAGATAAATGGATAAAGAAGCTGTGGTACATACATACAACGTGGTACATACAATGGAATATTACTCTGCCACGAAAAGGAACACACTTGAGTCAGTTCTAATGAGGTGGATGAACCGAGAGCCTCATTATAAATCAGAAAGAGAAAAACAAATATTGTTTATCAATACATATATATGGAATCTAGAAAGATGGTACTTATGAACCTATTTGCAGGAGACGGCAATGGAGACACAGACATAGAGAACGAACTTGTGGACACAGCGGGGGAAGGAGAGGGCGGGACAAATGGAGAGAGCAGCATGGAAACATAAAATAGCTAGCCAGGGAGGATTTGCTGCAAGATGCGGGGAGCTCAAGCCTGGGGCTCTGTGACAACCTAAAAGGGTGGGATGGGGTGGGAGGAGGGAGGGATGTTCAAGAGGAAGGGGACGTATGTGTACCTGTGGCTGATTCATGTTGATGTATGGCAGAAACCAACACAATATTGTAAAGCAATTATCTTCCAATTAAAAAAAAAAAAAAAAAAGACTCCATGCTTCCAAGGCAGGGGCTGTGGGTTTGATTCCTGGTCAGGAAACTAAGATCCTGAATGTTGCCCAGCATGGCCAAAATTTTTTAAATTTAATTAAATTAATTAATTAATTAAAGTCTCTGTAAACCAATGTCCCTCTCCCCAGACTCTTCACTGAGCGCACACACCAGACTGTGAGAAGCCTCCAGACCTTCATCACCACTGGGCCCCAATGACAAATGGTCCCCCCTCCCCACGTGGTAAATAAACCCTCCGTGAGTTCAAAAATACCCAAGAGAGCTTTCCATCCTCATGTCCCAAACATCTCAAACCATGATGTTCGCCTGCAGGGGATTTTTCTTGCAGTTTGCTCTTTGAGCACAGCACTCAGAAACAGGGGTCTGCTCTCTTTGCCCACCCACCCAGCATCCGTCTTATCCTTTCAGGTACCAGAACTCCAATATTACTTTGAGAAACCACCTCTTCCCACCCAGGCCTGGCCAATCAAAGCACTTCTCCTGGCCACGGTGAGTGGCTCGGGGATGAGTCTATGATGCTAACCAAGATGAAGCTCCAATACTTTGGCAACTTTATGCCAAGAGCTGATTCATTGGAAAAGACCCTGATGCTGAGAAAGGCTGAGGGCAGGAGAAGGGGGCAACAGAGGATGAGATGGTTGGATGGCATCACTGACTCACTGGACGTGACTTTGAACAAACTCCGGGGGATAGTGAAGGACAGGGAAGCCTCGTGTGCTGCAGTCCACAGGGTCACTAACCGTCAGACACGACTGAGCAACTGAACAGCGAGCCAATGAAACTCAATCCTGGGACTTTTAGTGGAGCCACGGCAAATGGAACACACTGTTTTTTCCTAGAGGGAGGCTGGAGGTATAACATGGGGAAAATGGGTATATGGATAGACTAGACTTTTAATCTCCTTGGTAGCTCAGACAGTAAAGAGTCTGCCTGCAGTGTAGGATTCCTGGGTTCGATCTCTGGTTCAGCAAGATCCCTGGAAAAGGGAATGGTGACTCAGCTCAGTATTCTTGCCTGGGAAATTCCATGGACAGAGGAGCCTGGAGGGCTACAGTCCACGGGTTCACAAAAAGTCGTACACGACTAAGCCACTAACAAACACATAGTCTAGACGAAGCATCAAATGAGTTGCTCAGGAGATAGGTAGAAAGTCCAGGGCTTAGTACTGCCCTAGAGACACAGATTTGCAAGTCATCAGCATTTTAGTACTAAGTTAACCTCTCCCTGACTCCAGATTCAAGACCTTCTCCACCGGCCTTTTCTCTTCCCCACATTTGGAAAATGAGTGTTGACGCAACTTTTCTGTTGAGATACATGCTCAGATCTTGCAGAGCCTGGGAAGCTTCAGGATTAGATTTCCTGAAAAAGTCTTCTGAACACGCATGGTATGTCTTCATATGACTCCACACATTGGATGTCTTAGCAGATGGGCATACCTGACACATGTCTATATTCTCAATCACACCTGTGGTTGTGAAAATGCAACAGGGTTCCAACTGTTGGCCTCTCTGCACCCCTTGCCTGGGAAGGAATGAATGAACTCATTGCGGAAGCCACTATTTTTGTGAAGACAATTACTGCTAGGCTGGGCTGAAATAAACAACAAGCCCCCAGATCTCAGTGGCTTAGCACAGTGGAGGCTTACTTCCCATTCACACAGAACCCAGTGAAGATTGTGAAGGGGCTCTTCCACCCAATAGCAGGGATGCAAGCCCTCTTATCTATGATGATACCTCCGCATCAGCATAGCCTCTGAGGCAGAGGAAAAGGGAACCTGAGCTTTACTCAGGAAGTTCTAAGAGCCAGACTTAGGGAATTACTTATACCACGTTTGCCTACTCACCCCTGACCAGAACCAAGTCCTGTGATCTCAACCTAAAGCTGAGGAAGTCTGGGAAAGTCTCTTTCCATTTCACTCAGGAAGAGGAAGAACAGCTGGTTGGTGAGCACAAAGCATTCTCTCTGCTACAGGCGTTGAACAAGTCTTCTTCATCTAAGCCGACTCCTTCTTCAACCAGTAATTCCACAAACACCCACAGATCAAACCAGATTGTAGTGGCCACTGCGATGATCTGACAGAAGGGGCCAAGTGAGGCTAATAGAACAGGCCAACAGGACATTCATGAACCTTCGACCAGTTTGGTGATGCCTTAGGAAGTGGGAATCCTGAGTGATCATTTGTTGAAAACCTACTGTGCATGCGAGGCTCTCAGCGGACAATCTCATAATTTGCATAACCATCC